AAGACGCGCCAGTCAACCAAACTTGTGTAAAAAATTGAAGACTATGCTATTCCCATCATTTTGTCCGAACGACACCCCCGAAAAGCTGACTCGGCGCGTGTAGGTCCAGTTACAGGCCGCTCCTGGAGACTCTGAGGGGGAATGCGCAATTTCACAAAATCGATCCATTCCAAATATGCGTCTAAAATAGAACCTTATTTTCCCAAGATTGATTTCAAATTCAAATTCCACATTAATTCATGGCATTGTTTTTGCACACGACCACCGAAGATATATCACAAACATCATCGTCTCCAGTCCTCGCACCAAGAACTCCACCACAATGACCACACCTCTACAACCTCATAGACAAAACAAGGTTCCTTTGGTGACTCCCACAGTGTCTCGAAAACAACGCGCCTGTGTATCCACATCATCTTTCGGCTTCCCCATCAACCAAAGAGGATGAAACGAATCCTTCTCTCTGCCAACAAACAACTGATCCCGATCTACTCATAGTTGAGCAAGAGCTCGGCGAGGTTTCTCTGGCGTAGTATCTTAGTTCCCTCCAACGGAATAACAATACTAGTAACCTCCTTATCACTATCATGGTTTACAAAAAAGAGCCATGTGATGAAGGCCAAACAGTGGATTTTTTCATCATTGTTTGCATCAATATTTGTCAGTTTCATGGAGTCGTTCTTGCTCTCCAAGCGGGCTTTATTGATTGGAGCCATGGCAAATGTTTCAACGGTTTTATGTTTGCATTCGTAATATGGAGGAGGTCCATTGCCATAAGCCTCAAGGAGAGAGACTTTTGACATCGTTCGTGATGCGATTGTCTGCAAAGTGGCCCGTCTTCTTTTCCCAGGGCAGCTTTGCTTACTACTTTGTGGGTGTGCATGTGAACGCTGAGATGTACGGTGGGGTTTGGTGTTTGGGTGTCAGAAATTAAAGCTATTTATTTAGTATACATTTTCTCGTATAGCTCCATGTCGCAAGGTGTCGCAGTTTGACCACCAAAAATGGTTCCTTTTTGCTCCGACTCATTCGACCGTCTGAATGTCTTAGCTGATTCGACTACGTCGACCAACTCAGCTGCTCGACTCAGTCGACTAAATATTTCTTCTTAGTTCGTTTTTTAGCCTTTACGGCACGTCATGTCTGCCTTCCCCACCATTTGCAGACCTTACCCTGTGTTGTCGAAATGTGATCAAATCAATCTTGGGAAAATAAGGTTCTATTTTAGACGCATATTTGGAATGGATTGATTTTGTGATCCCCCGTAGACGTTAAATTGAGTAGCGAGGTACGAGAGATTCCCGACGAAAACGAGTACGATGACAAACATGGGGATTTTACAAGATGTGTGCAAATCTCTAGATTAAACTATCTAAACGTACAAATGACGGACACTCTCTGGTCCAATTAACGGTCCCCTCAAGGTGATACTGATATATATCAGAGAACCTTGTACTCCGAATTGGGCTAATATCAACCGTACCCCCTCTTGGGAGGACGTACCATCCAATACTTTCTAAGACTGACAATATCCGGCGACGGATGAAGACGTTTCAAAAAATTAAATCAGAAGAGCAAGTTTTCCATTTTGCTTTGCTTTCCACATGATGTGTTCCATAAGACGGTCACAAACGGTTCCAGGTTGGATCTTGGTTAAAACGTTGGCCAAGTTCTCAGCGGAAATGATCCATTCAATTCGTAGGATATCAATTGCGCATCTGGAGCGAATGTAGTGATATGCGACAGCATTTGACTTCTTTTTCAATTGGGATTCAGGAACACTTGAGTTCTTGACAACGGACATATTGTCAACACAAGTATGACAATAACCTTGGATTGGAATGCCCATCATTCTGAGCTTGAATCGTAGTCCCTCAAGTAATTCAACACCTGTCTTTAGAGCAGCAAATTCAGAACCAAAACTGCTTGTCTTGACACTGTTTTGCTTTTTCAAATACCAGATAATAGGAGCTTTGTTAACAAAGAACAATACTCCTGTTCTTGATTGACGAGTAACAACGTTAGCAGCATGAGATGCATCAACAAACATAGTGAACTCTACCGCTTTGCCAAGAGGTGTAGGCATGTCACTTGGGAGTTCATCCTTAGTGAACTCATAGAACTGTGAGTAATCAGCTTTCTTTAATGGTCTAAGATGGTCAGCATAACCACAATCCATCACAAGTACACGATCAGGATGCTTCTGTAAATAGGCAAAAATATGTAAGGCAGCATGAAAGTGGCCTTTACGAGGCATTGCATTGTATGACGAGAGCATAGACACTTTGGCGGCGACATCGATACGACCAAGTTCCACAAGCCAGCGCAGAATACCGATGAGTTGCATGTAGAAAATAGCAGTGTCATCATCAACAAAAGGAGTAGAATCAAGTTCTGGCTTGTATCCAGAGTTGAGTAAACCTTTTTCTTCAAAGTCAGTTGCATTGGCGCAATTCGTTTCTTGACAACTCGTAACGACTCTTGTAGATACGCTTCAGATCCAATAGCCCAGGTGAAATAATCATCACCATCCAACTTGTGCTTCGAGATTGTTGCACCAAGATATGTGGTTGGCTCTTTTATCAAGTCAGGCTTTAAAACAAAGAAATTGTTGAGTTTGTCCATAATCGCTTTTGGATTCTCCGAGATTGCAATGACATCATCAGTATAAACTAAAATATACTCATAATACTTCAAACCATCTTTGCGTTGACAAGGACGACGCCAAACATCCATATCTCCACGACATGGTTGGAACTCCAATTGTTCCTTCAAAACGTCTGCACAGAGGCTCCTCCATGCGAATCCGGAACTTTTGAGTCCGTAAACGGCCTTAACCAGGATAGCTTTCTTCCCGGCATACTCTCCAAACTCCTTCCCTAAAATACAATAAACTTTCTTGGCACATTTGGCATTCAGATATGCACCGGAGACGTCAGCACTCAAAACATTCAAACCATTCAAAGCAGCAATAACAAAAGCAAGTCAAATGCTTTCCCTTGTCACAACACTTGCATAGGTGACAGACCTTGGAGGATCCGTTTGGTCCCCTCTAGCACATATTCGTGCCTTCCGTGTGAGGTCCATCTTGACATCAAAAACAGTCATAAGCTCAATGAGCTGGTATCCGACCGGAACATCTTCATCTTCTTCCAGAATCTTCAGAGCTGGTAGAATTGTTTTGACCTCTTTGATCAAGGCATCATTCCAATGTGAGGTACCATTCTGAGCATCAAGTTCATACGCACGTGCAACGCCTTTCGGCCCAGGGCAAGGCACCTTGATACCAAACTTTTCTGGTTTCTGTCTTTTCACAGCACGGCGCTTACCAGCTTTCAAAACTTGATCACGCTTTCTCAGAGTGTAGGGAACCCACCACGCAAAGGCAGGCTCTGACACAAGCTTGTTTGCAACAGCATATTCAGCGACCTTGATAGGAAACGCTTCTTTTGCTACTGATAGATCAAGCCATTCAGTTTCTCCACCTTTCATTTCAGCTAATAATTTCCATCCTTTAGTTGTCTTTCGTGGACGCTTGAGACCGTTGGAGGTAGTATACCATCCATCGTCCCCTCTAACTGCTCGTCCATCACGTTGATGATCAATAAATTCGCGAATCCGGTACATTGTGTTACCTTCATCATCGACATTCATCATTATCCCTTCAATAATCTGATTTGCATAGAAGCTTTCCACTTTCCCATCCTCAAACTCCACTTGATAGATAGATGTTTCAAGGTGTGGATTCTCGTGGTAGTGACCAATCACTTTTCCAGATGAGTCACGCTTCCGACCTTGAACAACTCCAAAAGTCTCAATGTTGGAAATCGGTTCTGGCGGACATCAGACTGCGTGTCTTCGTCCAAACCGATAGACAACGTTGTGGCCCATCAAGCCATAATTGCCAACCAGCCGTGTCAGCATGCGACCCATCATGCAGAGGCACCGACCATAGCGATCACCGATCCGCCTAATAGGAAATAATCATCTCTACAGGAAATAACTATTCTAAAAGACTTGTTATCTACATGGAATGGGCAAAGCA